GTTATAAGGTATAGGGGTTACAAGGTATAGGGGTTATAAGGTATTATAAGGTATAGGGGATACAAGGTTTAAGGTATAGGGTATAGGGGTTACAAGGTATAGGGTGTAGGGTTTATGGGTTACAAGGTGTAGGGGTTATAAGGTATAGGGGTTATAAGGTATAGGGGTTACAAGGTATAGGGGTTATAAGGTATAGGGGTTACAAGGTATAGGGGTTATAAGGTATAGGGGTTACAAGGTATAGGGTATAGGGTATAGGGGTTCCAAGGTATAGGGTGTAGGGTATAGGGGTTACAAGGTGTAGGGGTTATAAGGTATAGGTGTTATAAGATATAGGGGTTACAAGGTATAGGGGTTATAAGGTATAGGGGATACAAGGTATAAGGTATAGGGTATAGGGGTTACAAGGTATAGGGTGTAGGGTGTATGGGTTACAAGGTGTAGGGGTTATAAGGTATAGGGGTTACAAGGTATAGGGGTTTCAAGGTATAGGGGTTATAGGGTATAGGGGTTACTAGGTATAGGGTATAGGGTATAGGGGTTCCAAGGTATAGGGTGTAGGGTATAGGGGTTACAAGGTATAGGGTGTAGGGTATAGGGGTTACAAGGTATAGGGGTTATAAGGTGTAGGGGTTACAAGGTGTAGGGGTTATAAGGTATAGGGGTTTCAAGGTAAAGGGGTTATAAGGTATAGGGTGTAGGGTATAGGGGTTCCAAGGTATAGGGTGTAGTTTATCGGGTATATTGGTTACAAGGTATAGGGTGTAGGGTATAGGGTATAGGGGTTACAAGGTAATGGGTGAAGGGTATCGCGGTTACAAGGTAAAGAGTGTTGGGTATAGGGTATAGGGGTAACAAGGTATAGGGTGTAGGGGTTACAAGGTATAGGAGATACAGTGGTAGAGGTGTAAGGGTTAGTATTCAACTTAGATCTGCGCATGTGTATACCATACTTCCGCTTGAAGGGCTGCATTTCAAAACTGGTAAGTGCAGATTTCAAAATTGATACCTTCTGACTATTACGGTTGAATATATTTAGTTTATGGTTAACTTTCTTTGGTATTATTGTTCTTGCTAAGTCTTTCCAGGGAACATTTAACTGCAATTGACTCTGTTATATCTGTATGTAAAAAGCACGTGGGCAATAACATTGTATGCCTTGTTTATGTAATTCCCTTCTCTTGAAACCAATATATAAAATTTACACATACTTTCATTGCTTCATATATTTTTCAATCGATTTCCATGTATTTACCCTGAATCCATAAACTCCTTAATATGTATTTTATATCTCTGATACATCCAAGTTCTAATGTGCTAATAAACTTGTTTTCTGTCTATACCATATACCCTACACCCTATACCTTGCAACCCATATACCCTACACCCTAAACCTTGTTAACCTATACCCTATAACCCCTACACCCTATACCGTGTAACCCCTATACCCTTGACCCCTATACACTGTAACCCCTACACCCTACACCTTTTAACCCCTATACCCTATACCTTGGAGCCCCTATACCCTGTAACCACTACACCCTATACCCTATACCTTGTAACCCCTATACCCTGAACCCCCAACACCCTATACCTTGTAACCCCTATACCCTGAACCCTATACCTTGTAACCACTATAACCTGTACCCTATACCTTGTAACCCCTATACCCTATACCCTACACCCTATACTTTGTAGTCCCTATACCCTGTAACCCCTACACCCTATACCTCGTAACCCCTATAACTTGTAACCCCTACACCCTATACTTTGTAATTCCTATAGACTGTAACCCCTACACCCTATACCTTGTAACTCTTATACCTTGTAAACCCTACACCCTATACCTTTTAACCCCTATACCCTGTTACCCCTATACCCTGCAACCCCTAAACTTTATACCTTTTAACCCCTATACCCTATACCTTGTAACCCCTATACCCTGTAACCCCTACATCCTAAACCTTTTAACTCCTATACCTTGTAACCCCTACACCCTATACCTTGTAACCCCTATACCCTGTAACCCCTACACCCTATACCTTGTAACTCTTATACCTTGTAACCCCTACACCCTATACCTTGTAACCCCTATACCCTGTAACGCCTACACCCCATACTTGGTAACCCCTATACCCTGAAACTCCAACACCCTATACCTTGTTACTTCTATACCCCATACCTTGTAACCCCTATAATCTCTAACCCCTGCACTTGTAACTCCTATACCCTATACCCTACAACCTATACCTTGTAACCCCTATACCCTGTAAACCCCTGCACCTTATACCTTGTAACCCTTATACCCTACACCCTATATCTTCTAACCCTTGTAACTTCTATATCCTATATGCTATACCCTATACCTTCTAATCCTTATAACCCCTATACCCTACACCATGAGGTGTATACTTTATACCCTACATCTTACACCCTGTAATTGTTACCCCGGCACCCTCTACCTTGTAACCCCTATACTTTATACCTTTCACCTTGTCACACTTGTAACCCCTACACCCTCTACTTTCTAACCCTTGTAATTCCTATATCCTATATGCTATACTTTATACCTTCTAAACCTTGTTACCCCTACACTCTAAATCCTACAGAGTTTTTAACATCTATAAAACTAAACAGAAAGTAAATTACACTAAACATTGAAGTAAATGATTTTTTATAAATCAGTTTTGAGCTGTTATTCCATTGTTGCAAAGATACGACCATGTTTTTTTCGTTTCTGCAGGGGAAGTAGCTTTCATTGAAATCAATCTCTAACCATGGCAGAAGAAAATGATGCTCATGATTTATCCGATTTGGATGCTGAGGCCTTTGAGGGTAAATTAAACATTCAATACAATTTATGAATCTCTAATCATCGATTTACAATACTATTACAAACTCAAAAAATTCTTCTATTCGTGATAATAGGAAAGCATAAATAAAACGTTTTATCATTGTTTTTGTTATATGCATAAAATATTTCTGATTGTTTCTGCTTTCTTTTTACAACAAATAATAACTCATTACTATTTCCTTTAGAGCCCATATCGTTGGAGTATATGCGGGAAAACTTTATGGGGGTGGAGGAGGTGAGGGGCATCGTCATGGGACTTCAGAAAAATATTGATGAGAGACTGAATGACTTTGAGCAGAAGATGGAGAAGAAAATGGAGGAGCTCCAACATACCATCATCGGAAAATGTAAGGAGGACTATAATAAAAAGTTGTCAAGCATAAAAGAAACTTTGATAGAAACTTCCAAACAAGAAAAAGAAGACTTAAAAGATGAAGTAAGGAAAAGTTTGGAGGATGGGTTGTTTGTTCTCAAGAAGATCGACGTTATTCGAACCGCACAGGAGGATGTTGACAAAGATGTAAGCATTATCTCCGAAAATCAACCAGAGATGGCCCCACGGCCCCAAGAGAAGAAGCAGTCCACGCCAAAAATGGCCAAAGTGAACTGGAAGGACTTCCCGATGCAAGATGACTTCCTTCGGAGGGAACATGAGAACATGGGCTGGAAGAAAAACAATACCGTCAAAAAATCTATTTTTGATATGGGTCTCAAAAGAAAATTGTGGAACGACGATGAGGTCTGGAGAAAACGAGTCTGTTATAAGATCGATGCCCAATACAAAGCGAACTTCTTGATGAGCGACACCAGATCCTCTCCTTCCTAAGGATAGTGTTGATGCTGGGAATTGGGATTAGGTTCTCCAAGACACTGTCCTTTGTCCATCAGAGATTTTTTTCTGCTTTTCTTTTCTGACAAAACAAACAGTTGTCAGTTTTTTAAATTTACTTTAATAGATTACAAATAACAGTTTTGAGATTTAAAAAGAAAAAAACTCTTCTTATTTAGCAAAATATTTCAGAATTGTAAATTTTAATTTTTCTTCAATGTGATTTGAACCTCTATTGTGCAGCAATTTTTTTAAAGTCATTTCTTATATGCCTTTCAATGTCTTAATTTTGACATTTCCTTATGAAAGAGTTTCCATTTTTAACTTGTGTAAAAGTTTTAATGAATGGTAGATTTAGCAGCTGTTTAGTAATTCTATTATTATTAAAATTTTACAATTACGGAAAAAATTATTCTTTTCTCTTTGCTGCTCGCAAAAGGGCAGCTCTAAATGCATTAAATGTTCTGTCTGGAATTCCTCTTCTTTTACATTCGTTTACGTAATCTTTATACATAATTTGGTATGAGTTCTTCCCCTTCCTTATTATGTCATGCAAGATGTTCATCTCAAATGTGTTCCAAGGAAGAAATAGTCTTGCCGGAACATGCCGGGCCGGGACATGCTGTATATTTTGTTCTTCTGGTTCTTTCTCAACAACAGGAACTTCTAACGGTAAATTGGCGTTTTCAATTTCGTTTTCCTCTATATCTGTTCCAATTTTTTCAAAAGGCTTTGAACAATCAAACTTGTGTGGAATATCTTCATATATTCGATAAATTCGTTTTGCCATGGGACCCCGGAGAAAAAATACAGAAAGAACTTTAACCATTTGCAGTTCTTGCTGTGTAATTGGTAATTCTTTCACATAAGCAAGTAAAGAGCTAAAGTTCACATAATGTCCGTTTTGTATCAAACATACACATGTTACAAACGTTAAAACACGAAGTAAATTCTCTTGACCCAGCTCCAGTCCTCTAAGCCGTTGACAAGTTTCAAAAACCCATGGAAATTCTGCATTGGCATTAATGAATTTGCTTCTAAATACTAGGTTTTCTTTTTCCATTTCATTTATAATGTTTGCGGTCAAAAGTTTTACATCGTACGTATTTGTTTCCGCGAACAGATCTCCATATAATATCTTTAATACTTGCCAGTTAGTCCATTTGAATCCACGTTTGATTCTATAGCAGGGAAAATATTTCACATTCAGGTGATTTAGGCCAGCCAACAAGATGTTTGCAATATCTTTTTTTTCACCTTTCATCATTTCCAATGCCCTTCCGAAAGTGAAAGGGAAGTGAAAAATATCCGCCCTGCTCAGATCTTTACATAACTGTTCCCTGATACAGATAAAATACACGAAGCCCATGAAGGCACGCTTGCCTGTCTTAGGTCGTGTGTCAGTGAGGGGATCTTATGGCTCTCATCCCTGCTATATTTTATATCTTCAATGAGTAGAAGAACTACTCTTGTTCCTAAAATTATATCATTGCAAGAAAGGAAGTCTCCAAATGAGAATAATCTTTGGATTCTTTCAATTTGTGACTTTAAAGTAGTCCAGTGATGCAGCGGCGGTGGTGAGCTTTCATCCAGAGCGCAGTCACTACTGGATTCCAGACATAAAAAACCATATTCGAAGGTAACAGACCGATTATTTTTTCCATCACCAGGACCAAGGTTTCGCGATAGAATGGCGTCTGTGTAAGAGTTCAGTTTTCCCCACCATAACATTTCGTTACACAATTCGTACTGATAAGCTTCCCAGCTGGGAATCATTTTGCCCAAGCCATTATTTTCTTCTTTCAATTTGACCAATGTGTGAAAAATTAGCTCAGCTATTTTCTTTATGAAAGAAATAAAACTTAATCTTTGACCGCAATATATTACCGTTTCTTGAAAAGGCACAACCATAGGATACTTATCCATAAGTAATTCTAAATGTTCTAGGTTAATTATTTCCTTTGCAATCAGCACTGACGGAATATCGTCCAAGGACACAACAACTTCGAGACGCATTGGCATGGCTTCTCCTAATTTATGGCAGTTTTCACGACATACAGAGAGATAATCATCAGAAAGTCGGGAAAGGTGAGCAGTTGATTTAGGATGCAGTAAATTACATGTCGCTATAAGACCAGATAGAGGATGCTTAGCGCTGCAATGCATGTGGGGCGAGTCTGCGTATAATTGCAAAAATCTCAAATTATTGGGATGCATGCACACATTCCTCAGTTCATCCGAGATATCGTTTGGACGACCATCTAAATTTGTTTGAAAATTGCAGCAATCTCTAAAGGAAAGGACTGGAAGTAATGATCCTCGAAAGCCTACAAGCTTCTGAATTCCGTCACGTGACCAGAAAAAGTGAATTTTGTCATCTATGCTCTTGAATGTTACGGCAATATGGGTGGTAAGAGATGTAACTAATTCAATGCAAAAATCATTTGCAAGTTGGATTTGAACGGAATCTCTCTCTCCAAAACGAAAAGCTACAATGGAAATTCGATGATGCGGAGGAGCCTGACATGCAATCAAAGTCTTATCTAATATGGCCATGACAAAGGATTGATCTTTTGCCAAAACCCTCCATTTTGAAACGTCAAAGATCGAATTCTTCTTAAAAGTGTCTTTACACAATTCCTTTGGTGATAATTTCAGAAGATTGTTTTGGAAGGTGGACTTTACTCGGTTAAAGTACTGGTTTGCAATCAATTTGTAGTTTAAAGCACTGGGCAGGTCAAAAGATGAATCTATATTTGGTAGTGGTATCAGCGCTAAATTCACTTGCCACCCAAATGAACTGAAAAGTTGTATACCATTGCACATTTTTAATAAAGAAAATGAAGTTCTCTGATATTGAGTTATATCTATGTGCTTCTTAAGAATCGGGTACATGGATATAATACTACCATCACCTCTTGGTAAAAGGTTCATGTAAAAAACTGGGAATTTGATAGCCGTCAATGCCTTCATCTCCAGTACAACTCCGTCAATGTCGAGATTGCTCTGCATTAAACAATATATTTCTCCAAACGTAGCATTAACACAGCGCGTTGATATAAATCCTCCTTCAGACCGATGCAGAAATGAATGTACGTCCTTATATTTTAAGAAAGTCGAACAAAAAGATATCGAATTCTCCTTTGCAACTTTCAGAAAAGATTCTTCCTGCTGATAACCGTTTTCTGATAACGGATCCATACTGATTACCTATAAAATAAATGAAATAAAGTAAACCTTTTTGTTTGTATTTAAAGAAATATTTTGTGCTTAAAGAGCGAACCTTCAACCTCACTAATGGATTTTAGAAATGATATCATAATGTAAGTGTAACAAAGGATAGGCTGTATGGTGTAGGGGTTACATTGTAACCCTGTGGTAGCGGATTTAGGGTGTAAGGTATAGGTTTAACAAAAAATAAAATTTAGGGGTTTTAAGGCTTAGACTATGCGACTGAGAGGTTTGGGTTGTAGAAATTAGGGTGAAAGGTATAATGTGTAAAGGTTAAAATGATTAGGGTATAGGGTGTAAATTAGGTATAGGTATAGAGTATAGGGTGTAGGTTACAAAGCATAGGGTATAAGGTATAATGGTTATAAGGTATAGGGTTTAGGTCGAAGAGTGTTGGGTATATGCTGGGGGTTACAAGGTATAGGATTTAGGGTGCAGGCTGTAGGGTATAGGGTATAAAGCGTAGGGGTTACAAGGTATAGGGTGTATCATGTAGTGAGGAATAGGGTGTAAGGTATAGAGTGTAGGGTGTAAGAAAGATGGGGTAAGGTTACAAGGTATAGGGTGTAAGGGTTATAAGGTACAGGGATTAGGGTGTGGGTGTAGGGTATAGGGTATGGGTTGTAGGGTGTATGGGTTACATGGTATAGGGTGTAGGGGTTACAAGGTAAAGGGTTTAGGGTATAAGGTATAGGGTGCAGGGTATAGGGTATATGGTGTAAGGTATTGGGCGTAGGGGTTACAAGGTCTAGGGTATAGGGGTTACAAGGTATAGGGTGTAGCCTTTAGGGTATAAGATGTTGGGTGAAGGGTATAGGGTGTAGCCTGAAAGGTATAGGGTATATGGTATAGGGTGTAGGGGTTACAAGGTAAAGGGTGTAGGGCATAAGGTATAGGGTAAAAGCTATAGAGTAAAGGGTATATTGTTTAAGGTATAGGGTATGGGGTATAGGATGTAGGGGTTACAATGTATAGGGTGTAGGGTGTACGGTATAGGGTGTAGGGTGTAGGGGTTAGAAATATAGGGTATAGGGTGTAGGGGTTACAAAGCATAGGCTGTAGGGTGTCGGTTATGGGGAATAGGGAATAGACTGTAGCGGTTACAACCTATTGGTTATGATAAATAGCTTGTGGATTGTTGTGTAAGTTGTTTTGCTAAAAGATTATTATATAATAACGTATAAATATACTCAATAACGAAACATGTTGAAGTAAGGCAATGTTCAATATTTAAAAAATAAACATTCCATTATAATTAAAATATTTATTTAATTGGGGTTTTTCAATCGCAATTTCATATTAAGCAAAATTATGGATTTCTCTCTGTGATGCTCACATTGTGAATGTGGACGGCCTTCAGATTAACAACATAAGTTTTCATTTGGAGATAATCATATACATCTCCCTTTCTGTTATTTTTAAAAAATACATCAAATTCAATATACATTTTTCCGTACAGTGTATATTATACAAGTATAGTAAAAATCAAATTACCTACCTCATTAAATGAAAATAAATGTATAAATCCTTTAAAAGTAGTAGTCAATATGGCGTCAAGTCAATGAAACAGTATATGAGCAATTCATATAAAAATAGATGAACAAAATGCATGCGCAGAAAATTCTATTTATAGTCAACGGAAAATAAAATTTATTTTTAGTAACATGATCAAGTCTTCTTGATCAAGAGGACAGGTCTACTACTAACCCTAACCCTAACCCTAACCCTAACCCTAACCCTAACCCTAACCCTAACCCTAACCCTAACCCTAACCCTAACCCTACCAGTACGGATCAGGATAAAAAGGGTAAGGAATAAATCGTGCTTCATTTGCGGGTCTTAATATACTGGAGATCCCACAGTACATATTACACTTCTTATTTATCATTTTATATTTTATCTTACAGGAAAATCAACCTTCATTGAATATGAATAACCTGAAATAAAAAGAAATATTTGACAGCTTCCCTCCACATGACCTCTGCTCAGAGGTAAGTAGCATTTTTTGTTAATTTTTCTAAGTCCCAACAAATACACATTTTTCTTCAATTGCTTAAATATACAGGAAATTTAAGTAGAAATAAAACCGATTTTCCTTCGTCTATGTAAACCGTATTATTATAAGCCAAAAAATTTAAGGTTAATCGACAAAAATAAGGACAAATTAGGAGTCGCCACATCTCGAAATCACTTAAGCATCTCTTGTTCAGTCGCGACATAATTTTTCGCCTTACTGAGTATTGCGAACAAGTAGAATTATCCGAAATTTTGTTAACTCAACACATAATCTACTTTAATACAATTATTTATGTTACATTTGACAGTTTCAAACCCCAGGGTTATAATTATTTACTTTTTTCCTTGTATTTCTTACAAGTACAGGTGATTAAAGTAAAAATCAGGGTTTTTTTTACTTCGTCTAAGTGAACCGTACAATATAAAGTTTCCAGTTTGCTATTTCATTATTAGGGTAAACCATATCCATAAAACGTGTACCAGAGCATTAAACAGTCAAAATCTATAAATTTCAATAATTTTTTTCAATTAACCCTAAGGCTAGAAAGTGTAAAATGTAACATAACATTGAAGTCATATATCAGATTTATTTCTAGGAAAAATCATAATTTTCTAACCTAAAACAATACCAAAATATTTATTCACAACTGTAAAATAGTCAAATGATTTTAATTTAGGGATTAAAAACATAAAAATATTTGGTAAATAATTGTGTAAAGAGCTTAGACCTCCTCGGCAACGTGCAGGTTGTCGAGATCGAACCACTTTAACTTGTCCAATCCCGGTTTCAAATTTTCAAAGACTTTTGTACATTTTCCACATGTTTAGTCATTAATATCTTTAGAAGGAGAACGCAGTTTTGCCAACTCATTGCAGCTACCAAGAGTCCCTGTCAGGGTGTCTCACTGACATAAGAGCAGTGTGTCGATTGTATGCCATTCTCCAGATATTGAAGATTGAAAATGGTCCAAAATTCTCCATTTGTCAATTTCTTTGGTGTAAATAAGAAGCTAATTTTCTCCCTTTTCCTGTCGCCTAGGTTTTATGTGTCTGAGTAAGTCAAGTTGTCCGTTTTCTTACCTTTCCAACGACACCAAACTCGTCTTGATCCGATAATAAATAAATAAGTTATGAGCTTTTGAAAATTCCACTTTGTTCTTTACTACTGCTTCTATCCGTGACTTTTACTTTCCACTTTCACTTTCACTAATCCTTTAATCTCAGTTGACCTAATTGGGCACTTTAATCCATGGGCATCTTCGTACATATCCCTAACCCTAACCCTAACCCTAACCCTAACCCTAACCCTAACCCTAACCCTAAACCCTAACCCTAACCCTAACCCTAACCCTAACCCTAACCCTAACCCTAACCCTAACCCTAACCCTAACCCCTAACCCTAACCCTAACCCTTACCCTGTAGGGTAAAGGTTTAACAAGGTATAGGGGTTATAAGGCATAGGGGTTACAAGGTATAGGGTGTAGGGTATAAGGGTTATAAGGTATAGGGTATAGGGTAGAGGGGTTGCAAGGTATAGGGTGTAGGGTGTAGGGGTTACAAGGTACAGGGTGTAGGGTATAGGGGTTGTAAGGTGTAGGGTATAGCCTATAGGGATTACAAGGTATAGGATGTAGGGTACAGGGGTTATAAGGTATAGGGTATAGGGTAATGGGGTTACAAGGTATAGGGTGTAGGGTATTGGTTTGACAAGGTATAAGGTGTAGGGTATAAGGGTTACAAGGTATAGGGGTTATAAGGTACAGGGTGTAAGGTATAGGGGTTGTAAGGTACAGGGTGTAAGATATAGGGCTTGTAAGGTGTAGGGTATTGCGTATAGGGGTAACAAGGTATAGGGTGTAGGGTATAGGGGTTACAAGGTATAGGGTGTAGGGTATAGGGGTTGCAAGGTATAGGGTGTAGGGTTTAGCGGTTACAAGGCATAGGTTATAGGGTATAGGGGTTACAATGTATAGGGTGTAGGGTATAGGGGTTCCAAGGTATAGGATATAGGGTATAGGGGTTACAAGGTATAGGGTGTAGGGTATAGGGGTTATAAGGTATAGGGTATAGGGGTTACAAGGTATAGGGTGTAGGGTATAGGGGTCATAAGATATAGGTGTTACAAGGTATAAGGTGTAGGGTATAGGTATAGGGGTTTCAAGGTATACGGTGTAGGATATAGGGGTTGCAAGGTATAGGGTGTAGGGTATATGGGTTACAAGGTATAGGGTATAGTGAATAGGGGTAACAAGGCATAGGGTGTAGGGTATAGGGGTTACAAATTATAGGGTATAGGGTATAGGGGTTACAAGGTATAGGGTGTAGGGTATAGGGGTTATAAGGTATAGGGTATAGGGTATAGGGGTTACAAGGTATAGGGTGTAGGGTATAGGGGTTATAAGGTATAGGGTTTAGGCTATAGGGGTTTAAGGTATAGGGTGTAGGGTATAGGGGTTATAAGGTATTGGGTGTAGGGTATTTGGGTTACAAAGTATAACGTGTAAGGTATATGGTTGACAAGGTATAAGGTGTAGGGTATGGGGGTTATAAGGTATAGGGGTTATAAGGTATAGGGTGTAGGGTATAGGTGTTACAAGGTATAAGGTATAGGGTATAGGGGTTATAAGGTATTGGGTATAGGATATTTGGGTTACAAAGTATAGGGTATATTGGTTACACAAGTTGAAGGGTGTAGGGTATAGGGGTTACAAGATATAGGGTGATTCGTATAGGGTATAGGGGTTACAAGGTAAAAGGTGTAGGTTATAGGGTTAATTGGTCATAAGGTATAGGTTGTAGGGTATAGGCTACAGGGGTTACAGAGCATAGGTTGTAGGGGTTACAGGGTGTAGTCGTTACAAGTAATTTGGGTTACAGGATATAGGGTATAGGGGTTACAAGGTACAGGGTTTAGGGTTTATAAGGTATTAGGTGTAAGGGTTAGTATGAAATTTTGATCTGCGCATGTGCAGACCATACTTCCGCTTGAATGGCTGCATTTCAAAACTGGTAAGTTCAGATTTCAAAATTTATATCTTTTGACTATTACTCATGAATTTATTCAGTTAAGGGTAACTTTGCAACGTATTTTTGTTCTTGATAAGTCTTTCCAGTAAACATTTAACTGCAATTGACTCTGTTTTATTTGTATGTCAAAAAGCACGTGGGTAATAACATTGTATGCCTTCTTTATGTAATTCCCTTCTCTTGTAACCAATATATAAAAGTTACACACACTTTCATTTATTCATATTTTTTTTAATCGATTTCCTTGTATTTACCCTGAATCCATAAACTCTTTAATATGTATCTGATATCTCTAATACATCCAGGTTCTAATATGTCAAAAAAACGTGTTTTCTATCTATACGATATACCCTTCTCCCTGTACATTGCAGACCCTATCCTCTGTAACCACTATACCCAATTCCCTACAAACCCTATACCCTACATTCAATACCTTGTAACCCCTATACCCTATACCCTACATTCAATACCTTGTAACCCCTATACCCTGAAACCCATACACTCTATACCTTGTAACCCCTATACCCTGTATACCCTACACCCTATACCTGGTCACATCTATACCTTATACCCTACACCCTACACCTTGTAATCCCCATACCCTATACCCTACACCCTATATCTTTTAACCCTTGTAACTTCTATATCCTATATGCTATACCCCATACCTTCTAACCCTTGTAACCCCCACACCCTTTACCCAATACCCTACACCCTACAGTGTATACCCTATACCTTACACTTTACACCCTGTTATTGTAACCCTTGTACCCTATACCCTACACCCTATACCTTATAACCCTATACTCTATACCCTAAACCATAGACCTTATAACCCTTGTAACCCCTACACCCTATACCCTATACCCTCTATCCCTTGTAATTTCTATGTCCTATATACCAATTGTTAGTCCATTATTTATACACTGAATTGACCACGGATTTTTTCCGTTATTTCATGATTATGACAACGAGAACACGGCGGGTGTGACCGGTCGGCAGGGGATGCTCACTCCTCCATGGCATCTGATCCCACCTCTGATGTTCTGGAGGTCCGTGTTTGCTCTGCTCTTATTTTGTATATTTGTTTAATGGACGTTGAGATTGAATACTGTTTCTTATTTCCATATCCTTCTTCATGCTATAACCTACACCTTCTTACCCTTGAAGTATTTTTTTTTAAAAAATCTATTTAACTTAACAGAAAATAAACCAAACTAAACATTGAAGTAAATGATTTCTGATAAATCAGTTTTGAGCTGTTATTCCATTGTTGCAAAGATACGACCATTTATTTTTTTTTTTTTTGTTTGGGCAGGGGGACTAGTTTTTCAAAGACATCAATCACTAACCATGTCAGAAGAAAGTGATGCTCACAATTTCGCAGGTAGGTTAAGGTTACAACCAAATATTCTACTTGCTTATATAATATGACGTCATAATAAGCTCTATTACGTGAGATTTAGAGATAACAATTTCTTTAAATCGATATCTAAATTGACTTGAGGTCGTAAAAATGAACCGAAATATTCAGAGGAATAATATCAACGGAATTTTGTCGTTCTTTTGCCTTTGTGGTTATCA